TCATGGCACCCATTGTAACATATCTAATAATGCCCTCAGATTATATCTGAATCATCATTATTATAAACTAGAGGCCTGGTGCACGGATTCGTGCACTGGAGTGGTCCCTCAGCCTGGCTGGCACTCTCTCGCAATCCAGGACCCCTTGGGGGATGTCGTACTGCTGATTTTGGCCCAATCCCCACAGGCCAAGCCAAGGATCAGGCGAAACCGGCAGTCCGACATCCCCTGAGGGATGTAGTAGTGCACGAAGCGGCAGGTGGCCAGGGAGGAGCCTGAGCCCGGGCTGGGTGCCCGTCGGTGAGCTGAGCGACCAGCGCTCCTACTGTGGGAGCCCACTGACCACCAGGGGAAGCTCTTGCATTGAGCGTCTGTCCCCTGGTGGTCAGTGCGTGTCATAGCGACTGGTCGTTCGGTCGCTTAGGCTGCCTGATCGCCCCTAACCACTCTGCCTGCCGGCCTTCTCGCCCCCAACTGCTGCCTCCCCCTGCCCCCGCCAGCCTGCTCGCCCCCAACTGCCCCCCTTGCCGGCCTGCTCGCCCCCAAACTGCCCTCCCCTCCTGGCCTGGTCACCCCTAACTGGCCTCTGCCTTGGCCCCGCCACCATGCTTTTGTCCGGAAGAAGGTCCGGAAAGTCTCCCGTCTAATAGCATATTAACCCTTTTATTTAAATAGATAACAGGAAACACTGTTAGGTACAGGTCTGAGTCTTTGTAGGACAAATTCTCTAAAAACAGTGTCACAGGTTCAGACGTGGTGCATCGACATTTTCAATGTGTGTTACCAGATTTTCCACCTTCTAGAAATATTGTGCCAGTTTATACTCCAGTAGACTTATCCAGATTCAAATATACAGATGTTATAATAGATTGTGTTCGCTTTTAAAACTTGTTATTTTGAATAATTTCGAGCTTACAGTAGTTTCATAACTAGTATATAGAACTCCCAGGTATCAGCTGTTAACATTTAGCATGTTCGCATTCTCATTTTCCCCTGAACCACTTCAGAGTTGGTTATAGACAACCTGCCCCTTTTCCCTAAATACTTGAGAGTATTTCCTAAGAACAGGGACATCCCCATCCTTAGCCTCAGCACAGCGATCAGCTTCCAGAAATGCAATATTGGAACAATGCTGTCCTTCAGGTCCAGGGTTCTGACTGTCTCCGTAAAGCTCCTCACAGCAGTTCTCCCGGGACCCAGAATTCAGTTCTGTGTCTGTCTGTGTTGGTCCTTTGTGTCTCTCATGACGTTGACCTTGATAAGGACAGATGGTGGTCTACGGCACATCCCTCAGTTGGGTTTGTCTGTGTTGTCCATGGTCAGATTCAGGTTGTGCATTTTTGGCAGGAATTCTGTTGCAACTTTGTTCCAATCATGGTAATCCAATCAGGAAACCTCATTGACATTTTAGAATATTAAGTATTGTATATAAAACACTGGCCTGGGAACAGGAAAATTCAGATATTAATTTTCTTAAAGATATTAATCCAGCCACCTTTGAGCACCTGCTTACATAAGATATGCAGTAGGTATGTAAACAATAAACCTGGGTCCTGTTCCCCAGAAGCCTGTGGTGTTTGGGAGGAAGGTGGTGAGTACACAGCCATCTCTGCACCTGACGGTCTTAGCGGTGCGAGCTGCCCTGAAACATGGAGGTCGGCGAGATTGCTTCTTGCTAGGGCAGGCCCTGTGGAAGGAGCAGTGCAGAAAGCGGGTTTCAGGGTTACTTGGAATTTCAGCAGCTGAATATCGATTTCTTAAGCAAAGGCACAAAAGCACATGACACGTTTGGAGAAAGGAACATCTAGCTTAAGTAGTGACTGAGGTGGGGAAGGGAAGGGGGGCTCAGCAGGGGATGGAACTGGGAGAGCAGTGGGGCCTGGAATGCCCACTTTCACTTTAACCTGGGCATGACTTTGCTTATTCAAGCTGATATGTGACTCTGGGCCATAAGTGAATGGTGCAAATTAGTGGGAGATCAGATTTAAGTACGTTATGGCTTGTACCCTGCAGTTGCTACAAAGGTTAGGGTTAATGAGGCCAACGTTATGACTGCAACCCATTTATAAGACGAATGAATTTTGCTTGGTTTCATGGTCCCTTGCTATAACCATAACCTTGATTTGGTTAGTTCTCATGTGAGTAAAGATGAGCACTGTGTTTCAATATTAGAAAAGCAACAATTTAGTCTATTCTTAATAGGATTTTTAAATTGAAACAGTCAAATGAATATTTTTGTTTGTTAATCCTCACCATATGTTTTTCCCATTGCTTTTCAGAGAGTTGAGGGGAGGGAGAGTGGGGGGATGGTGGGAGGGAAACATCAATGTGAGATCTCACATCAACTGGTTGCCTCCCACATGTTCCCTGGCCGGGGATGGGGAGCAAACCCGCAACCAGATACGGGCCCTTGACTGGGAATCGAACCGGAGACCTTTTGGTGCGCAGGTTGATGCTCTAACCACAGAGCAACACTGGCCAGGGCCAAATGAATTTTTAATTTGTATGCAACACAGAGAAGGCCACAGTTGTCAAGACCTATTAGGAAGGAGACTTTGTGTTCTAATTTCTTCTTTGCTTTCTTGTAGCTTGGCATTCATTAAACGCACTCCAGTCATTGATGCAGACAAACCAGTGTCTTCCCAGCTCCGCGTTCTCACGCTCAGCGAGGACTCCCCATATGAAACCTTGCATTCTTTCATTAGCAATGCGGTGGCTCCTTTCTTTAAGTCCTACATCAGAGAGTCTGGCAAGGCAGACAGGTAAAAGCCATTTTCCCTTTGTTGGTTTGAATCATATTTCACTACATCTTCACAAGACATTGGAAAATGATGTAAAATTCAGGAATCGAGAGGTAGAGCTAACAACCAAGAGGATGTAAATCTGTTGTGTTAATAAAGTGTTTATTATTAATATTTGACAGATCTGAAATAAGAGCATGTCTTGGAGACCAATAGTGCACTAAGTATTGAAATATTTTCTGTCTTTTTAGGGATGGTGATAAAATGGCTCCTTCAGTTGAAAAAAAGATTGCGGAACTTGAAATGGGACTCCTTCACCTGCAGCAAAACATTGAAATTCCAGAGATCAGCCTGCCAATTCATCCAATTATTACAAATGTCGCAAAGCAGTGTTACGAGCGTGGAGAAAAGCCCAAAGTTACAGACTTTGGAGATAAGGTTGAAGACCCAACTTTTCTCAATCAGCTACAATCCGGAGTTAACCGCTGGATCCGAGAAATTCAGAAAGTAAGAGCACAGGCTGAAAGTAGTTGTAAAGGCTTCACACTGTTATCTGTGAGGTAAATTCTTGGGTGACTGTTGGCCGTACCTGCCCTGGGTGCCGGGACTGCTCAGCAGGCCTGCCAAGCCCGGGGAAGTGGGAGACGCGCACCATCACCCTGAGCCTTCGTCTGACCTCTTTCCTACCTGTGACAAGTTCAACTGCTTGTCATTTACAGGCAGGAAATCCACTTGAAATATGGAAATTAAATTGTAATGCATGTGTTTAGTTAATGATACTTTTTCCACCTTTATTTAAATGTGAATACCCTTCAGTGTTATTTTATGTTTAAAGGTGACCAAACTCGACCGAGACCCTGCCTCGGGAACGGCCTTACAAGAAATCAGTTTTTGGCTGAACTTGGAACGTGCGTTGTACCGCATACAGGAGAAGCGCGAGAGCCCCGAGGTTCTGCTTACGCTGGATATCCTGAAGCACGGCAAGCGCTTCCATGCCACCGTCAGTTTCGACACTGACACAGGTAAAACGAGAACTGATCATCGTTCAGGCAGTTAATCTGCCTTTTGTGAGACCTTGCTGGTAATTGAGATGAAAGTTAATGTATGCAACACCTTTCCTTTTCCTCTCGCATCTTGTCTCATATCTCCCCCAGTCCTAGGTAATGAAAGTGACTTTCCACGTACCTCCCGTTTCCTCCCGGGGTTTTGAGGACACAGCCGGTTTCTAGGCCTGAGTGTCGGAAGCCATGGGAGTTCCATCCTGTCCCTGTTACTCAGTCCCCTGGGCAGGCTGTGCTTTCAGTATGAAGTCAGTGTGCCCCAGACAGGCAGCAGGAAGACAGTTCACAGAAGCAGCCGTTACTTGCCTGCAGGGCTGGGGACAGAGAGCTGCTCAGTACTTCCTCTTCCTCCTCTCGCCTGCTCCGTCCTGTTCTCTGCTCCCCTCCCTGTTCTGAAAGGGGGCGAGGAGCCTTTAGTTTTCTGCGTGGGCCGCAGTGAGTGGTGTTTCGTTAGCACCCAGTGGGCACATGAACGTTGGAGCGCTTGGGCACAGTTAGCATGTGTGTACGACTCCATGCCCACGAGGCCCGTTAGAGCCAGCAGCCGGACCACAGTCGTGGCAAATGTTAGAGGAGATTTCGGGTGGAAATCGTCCTATTACATTAATCACACTGTACACGTTACCTGGGCATTTACTAATGTGGAAAAGTATAGAATTTTCTGTAATACCTCCGAAACCTTTATGTCTTTTTAACATGTTTTCAAAAATCTTGTGCCAGAGGAAGTAAAAAACTAGACTAGGACCCAGGTGTTTCTGTGATTGTGTCAATAACGTACTCACCTAAATTGTTCCATGGGCATAAAATTTAAATTCTAGTGTTTTTAAAGATGACGAAATTCTGGTTTTTTAAACTTGTTTTTAGTAGAACATTTAGATAATCTAGAAAGCAAAAGAAGATGAACTATGAGGGTATCCCTGATGCTCTTTAACAAGTGAAAATGAGGCTGTGCTAGCATCGTCCTATTAATGAGTTTTTTTCCCCAAATATCAAATAGTTTCTTTGTCACTAAATCTTTTGCAACATTAAACTGTCCCATCATGAGGACACATTTCCGTTTACTTTCCCAGTAGTAGGCCTGTACGGAATATCCTGTAGTTGCATTACTTTTCAGTCGAGGTAAGATTGACATCTACCATTATGTTAGAGTTGTTTTACTTTATATGAAAACCATTAACTGTCTCTTAATCTAGGTCTAAAACAGGCTTTGGAAACCGTGAATGACTACAACCCTCTGATGAAAGATTTCCCTCTGAACGATTTGCTGTCTGCCACTGAGCTGGACAAGATCAGGCAGGCTCTTGTGGCGATCTTCACCCATTTGAGAAAGATCCGGAACACGAAGTATCCCATCCAGAGGGCCCTGCGCTTGGTGGAGGCCATTTCAAGAGACTTGAGTTCCCAGTTACTCAAAGTGTTGGGCACTAGAAAACTAATGCATGTTGCTTATGAAGAATTTGAAAAAGTACGTTTTACTATATCAGAAACCAACCTCGGGGCATTGAGACCAAACTGCGCTGTAATAACAAGCTTCCTTTCTGAAATTACATCCTAGGTTATGGTTGCGTGCTTTGAAGTGTTTCAGACTTGGGATGATGAATACGAGAAACTTCAGGTGTTGTTGAGAGACATTGTCAAACGGAAAAGGGAAGAAAATCTGAAGATGGTGTGGCGAATCAACCCTGCCCACAGGAAGCTTCAGGCTCGCCTAGACCAGATGAGGAAGTTTCGACGGCAGCACGAACAGCTGAGAGCAGTCATCGTCAGGGTCCTGAGGCCACAGGTGTGATTCCCATCCCAGATACTCACGCATGATTGTTTCAGATGAACTACTTGTTTCTGTTTTGCATTATTACTCCTTTAGCTCCGTCTTGTCGCTGTCATCTTTAAGATCTAGTGATTCTGTATTATATTGTTTCAATCCAAATCTTTAACGTTCTCCACCCATTCATTCCTACCCTCAAATTGCATGGACCCTAGAGCCAGAACCTGCAACCCACTGCTGAACTAGCTGTGTGACTTGGACACATTATTTAACCTTTTCTCCAGATTCCTCATCTGCAAAATCTATACTAATAAAAGGGTAATATGCTAATTAGACCAGGAGACCTTCCAGAAGACCTTCCGGACGTCCTTCCAGACAAAGTCATGGTGGCAGGGCCAAGGAAGAGGCGGTTAGGGGCGATCAGGCCAGAAGGGGAGGGCAGTTGGGGGCAAGCAGGCCGGCAAGGGGAGCAGTTGGGGGCGAGCAAGCTGGCAGAGGGGCATTTGGGGGCTATCAGACCGGCAAGGGGGAGCAGTTGGAGGTAAGAAGGCCAGCAGGGGGGGCAGTTGGGGGCAAGAAGGCTGGCGGGGGTGGGCAATTGGGGGCGAGCAGGCTGAGTGGTTAGGGGCAATCAGGCAGGCAGACAGGTGAGCGGTTAGGAGCCAGCAGTCCCGGATTGCGAGAGGGATGTCCGACAACCAGCTGTCGGACATCCCCTGAGGGGTCCCAGATTGGAGAGGGTGCAGGCTAGGCTGAGGTCCCGTGGCCCCATGCAGGAACAATGATTGCTGCAAGCACCTCTGAGAGAAAGCCGCCCTCATGTTCCGGCCCGATGCCAGACAGTTCAGTTTCTCCCTGTGTGAGTCTGGGTCCGCAGAGTCTTGCTCGGAACTGGAGTTCAGAGCAGTCAGGAGCTTGTATCTCCCTCCCAATTCAAAAAGACAACAGCATACCCAATTGCCGGCCCGTTTCTGCGTGCCTCCATACCTCCGCATTTCTGCACCTCCGCACCTCCTCCCAGTCTCAGTGTGCTTTTTTCTTTCCTTCTAGTTGTATAACTTCCACTCAGCCAGCCTTCCCATGGTTCTGGATGATATCCGTTTTGTCTTTTAGTTGTAGTTTTGATGTGGTTGTGTGAGGCAGCAAGTTCAGGTGTTTACCTGTGCCACCATCTTGGTTGTCTCCTGGTTTGATTCCTGATCAGGGCACTTGCCCAGTTTGCAGGCTCCATCCCCAGTAAGGGGCATGCAGGAGGCAGCCAATGGATGATGTTTCTCTCTCATCATGTATCTCTCCCTCTCCCTTCCTCTCTCTTAAAAATGTTTTTTAAGTGTTTGACTAGAGTCAAACAAGCATTACCGAGGCTGACTGGTAATTTGTGTGTGTGTGCTCTGCTGGTGTACAACAGAATACAGCCTTCATTGGTAACCTTGTCACGAATCCTTCCCTTTCAGGTCACAGCGGTTGCACAGCAGAATCAAGGGGAGGTCCCTGAACCCCAGGATATGAAAGTAGCTGAGGTTCTTTTTGATGCCGCTGATGCGAATGCTATTGAGGAGGTAAACCTCGCCTACGAGAATGTCAAGGAAGTGGATGGACTGGATGTTTCCAAAGAAGGCACAGAGGCGTGGGAGGCCGCCATGAAGAGATACGACGAGAGGATTGACAGGGTGGAGACCCGGATCACTGCTCGCCTTCGCGATCAGCTCGGCACGGCCAAGAATGCTAACGAGATGTTTAGGATTTTCTCCAGGTTCAACGCACTGTTTGTCAGGCCTCACATCCGCGGGGCCATCCGTGAATACCAGACCCAGCTAATCCAGCGCGTGAAAGACGACATCGAGTCTCTTCACGACAAGTTCAAAGTCCAGTACCCACAGAGTCAGGCGTGTAAGATGAGCCACGTGCGCGATCTGCCGCCTGTGTCTGGGTCCATCATCTGGGCGAAGCAGATTGACAGACAGCTGACCGCCTACATGAAGCGTGTGGAGGACGTCCTGGGCAAGGGCTGGGAGAACCACGTGGAGGGGCAGAAGCTGAAGCAGGATGGCGACAGTTTCCGCATGAAGCTCAACACCCAAGAAATATTTGACGACTGGGCCCGGAAGGTGCAGCAGCGGAACCTGGGCGTCTCGGGGCGCATCTTCACCATCGAAAGTACCCGGGTTCGTGGCCGATCCGGGAACGTCCTCAAGCTTAAGGTCAACTTCCTCCCCGAGATTATCACACTTTCAAAAGAAGTTCGAAACCTCAAGTGGCTTGGTTTCCGAGTCCCTCTGGCGATTGTGAACAAGGCTCATCAAGCCAACCAGCTCTACCCGTTTGCCATCTCCCTGATTGAGAGCGTGCGCACCTACGAGCGCACCTGTGAGAAGGTGGAGGAACGGAACACCATCTCTCTGCTGGTGGCCGGCCTGAAGAAGGAGGTGCAGGCCCTGATCGCAGAGGGCATCGCCTTGGTGTGGGAGTCCTACAAACTCGACCCGTACGTGCAGCGGCTGGCGGAGACTGTCTTCAACTTCCAGGAAAAGGTGTGTTCCGGGCAGTCCTCCCGTGGCCAGGACAGCTGGCTCACCATGTTGGTCTCCCGTGGCTGCGGGATTACAACAGGAGACGTGGGAGCTGAAAGGGAGAAAGAGCCACTGGGCTGTTTGACGGGATGAGGGCTTTAGGGAGGCCCTTGAATAACTAACACCTGAGTTTAGAAATCCGTGGAGAGATGACAGGCACAGGAGTCGAAGAGCGAAACGAGAGCTTTGTTCCTGATAAAGCTGCCTGGAGAGGTGCTTGCTGTCGCTCCACCCCGACCTAGACTTCCGCCCAGGCTCCCGCACAGCTGGCCAGTGTAGGTCCTGTGCCTGCCGCCTCAAGCAGGCCAGAATGCGTGCGTCTGGTGCACGCTGGCTCCCGAGGAGAGGACGGAAGCGAGTGGAGCCCATCTTACTTCTGCTCCCAGACTTATCAAGCAGAGGCCGTCCCTCCCGTGAGCAGGAGGGAGGAGGGGCAAGCTGACAGTCTCCATACATTTCCCTTCCCTCTCACCCAGTAGGATTAGCTGTTTATGGAAAAACTTCTCTGCCTCGAGCATTTGTCAGTTGAGAAGAATGTACATAAAAATTAAGGGATGGAGTGAGTAGATGTTTTAAATATTAAATATACTTCCCTTTAGGTGGATGATCTGCTGATTATTGAAGAAAAAATAGACCTGGAGGTGCGTTCCCTGGAAACCTGTCTGTACGATCACAAGACTTTCTCAGAGATCCTGAACAGGGTCCAGAAAGCTGTGGACGACCTGAACCTGCACTCGTACTCCAACCTGCCCATCTGGGTCAACAAGCTGGACATGGAGGTGAGGCTGGGCACTGAGTGGCTCCTCACTGACATGGAGGTGAGGCGGAGAGACAGAGAGACATATTGATCGGTTGCCTCCCACACACGAGATCGATCCTGCAACCAAGATACGTGCCCTTGATGGGCATCTAACCCGGGACCCTTCAGTCCATGGGCCAGTGCTCTATCCGTTGTACCAAACCAGTTAGGCCTTTCCTTCACTTATTTTTTTCTTTTATTTTATTTCATTGATCAGCTGCCTCCTGCACACCCCACACTGTGACCTCCTGGTTCATAGGTCGATGTTCAACCACTGAGCCACGCCAGCCGGGCATGCTTTCCTTCCCTTTTAAAAGGGTAAATCAGTGGCGGTGTATTCACACAAAGGGAGACCAACAGAGGGAAAGCTGACAAAGCCCACTCTACTGAGTCCACTGACAGTCTCAGCCTTCCTCACGGCCGCCCTCACAGCATCCCAGGCGGTCCTGTGGCCAAGGCCAACTTTTCACAAAGACACACAGGCGTCCTGTTCGCAGAAACTTACTTGTCTCATTCTAGGTCAGAGAGAAGATTTTGTTCTTTACTTGTAACAGAAAGTGGTCAACATGGAGGGTGATAGATGTTGATCAGACTATCGTGATCATTTTGCAACATATACAAATATATAATCACTAGTGGCCCGGTGCATGGATTCGTGCTCATTGAAAGGAAATTAATTAGAAGGTGGCAGGCGGGGCGGGACTAGGCAAGATGGGCTGGACATGCCCTGGAGCCAACCTCCCCGGGTCCCACCCCGGCCAGCCACACCTGGGGCAGTGCTGCAGCTCAAAGGGCGTCTCTGGAGTGAGCGGGGTCCCTCCAGCAGATGGGGTCCCTCGGCCTGGCCTGTGGGGATCAGGCTAAAACCGGCTCTCCAACATCCCCCAAGGGGTCCCAGATTGCAAGAGAGCGGTTCTTGGGTTCTCACAGAGAACCACTGCTGCCAAGTCACCGCAGCTCAGCAGCTCCTGTGTTGAGTGTCTGCCCCCTGGTGGTCATTGCGTGTAATAGCTACCGGTCAGGTGGTTGGACCCTCCCTTAGCCTTTTACATATATAGGTTATGCCACTGCC